ACAACATCACAAATATCGTTATTCAAACCATTAATAAAATGAGCCATGGTTAGTTCCGGATCTCCTTCAATATTGGCTTGCATTATGAGCAAGTTCAATTCCTTGTAATACTCTTCAACTCCTTTGGTGCCTTGTGACAATTTTTGAAGTTTAAATTTCACATCTCTAGCATAGCTAGCCGGCACATAACGTTTCCTCATGAGCCTTTTCATTTCAGCCCATGTTTCCACCAAAGGCTCTTCATTTCTCAACCTTTCTCTTTTCAACTTATTCCACCACACAAGTGCATAGTCCGAGAACTCCGCTGCTGCAAGTTTCACCTTTTGCTCTTCATCATAATTGTTACAAGTGAAAATATGTTCTATTTTGAGTTCCCATTCCACATAGGCTTCCGGATCACTCTTCCCCTTAAATGGAGGAACATTAAGTTTAACACCTTCAATTCTGTTTTGCCTAGGAGCACCACCATTTCTTCCTCTCCTTTCTTCTTCATGATGATCACGATTCTCTAATCGCTCAATTCTTCCATACAACTCTTCATTGTTTTCTCTCAATAATCTTTGCATTTGAGCATTAATAGCGTCGAACAAGAGTCTTTGTGTTCCATCCAAATGATTTCCATCTGCCATACTTCAAAAACAAGAGTAATAACAAACACAAAGAAAATAGGACCTCACCACTCTTCTCACTTGTTTACACTCGTAAAATGAACACTCGTGTATGTCACTCTTAATGGTCTTTTTTTTTTTTTTTTAAAGCAATTCAAAAAAAGTAGACAACACAAAGAACAAACCACAATTTTTTTTGTCTTAAAAGCAAGGTTTAGGGTAGGCTTAAAAAGGAATACAAAACAGCCACCAAAAATTCAAAAAAAAAACAAGGAAATTTAGGAATAAAAAAAAAACTGGAATTTAGATAAGTTAGTAACAACTTTCAACCAAACCAAAATATTACCTTAAAGATTGAGTTTCAAGTTTTCTAAACACATGAACCATTTAGCCACAACTCTTTTTTTTTTCTTTTTCTTTTTTTTAATTATGCACGAATTTTATATATATATATATAT